GGCAGAAAGTTGGTCAGCAGTCGGTTAGGGGGCTAATGAAAATGAAAAGCTGTGTCAATGTGCATTGTTTGCATATTGAACAGAACTTGAACTAAAATTGAGTTTGAGTACCGTTTGAATTGTTGTTGTGAGGTGAGGCTTGTGTCAACAACATATTTTTTGTTTTGGAGATTTCTTTTGTTTAGCATACAAATTAACTGGCGACATGCTCTGTTGTTGGGTGGGCTGCTGCTGCTGTTGTTTCTGGTAATTGCTGGTCAGGTGTAGGTGCTGCAGTGCCCCCAAATCTTGAACAACACTTCAAAGAGCATATGACAAGCATTTTTTTTCTTCATTTCTGTCACTTCAAACGCTCGCTGCGCGGCGCATGTGTGTGTGTGGGCTCAAAAGCCAGTTCCAGTTCCAGTTTCAGTTCGAGACGAAACTATTAAAACAAACGCCCACCGTTTGTCAGGTCTGGAGGTCTTCAGACCGGCAGCATGTGACGGACATGCATTTTGCTTGTTGAATTTCGACTGACACTGAAGTGATGAAAGTGTTTCACAATCAACCAAGACATTGCAAGGCGGCAGCATCACAGGCCAAAATAACCAAGAGTGTTCTAGTCTTAGCGCTGCCCGACCAAGAAACACCCTGTACAAAGACTTTAGTTGCTGTATAGAATTGTAAGCTTATGCAAATTCTGTGCTGCAGATTTTTTAGGCTTTCTTATTTCACTCGACATAATTTAAAAATATATGGGAACGATAAACAATAATACAAAATGTTGGATTTAGCAACCTTCTGGAAACATGGCTGGTATATAAACAAAATATAATTGTGCTAGATGAAAATGTATAAGCCAAAGTTCGAAGGGAGAGATTCCCTCTGCTGCCTGTGACATAGAGCTGCAAATGTATACTAAACCCTGTTCCACTCAGCTCGAGGGTACAAAAACACAGACATTCAGATCGTTGCATTTATAAACTCACACAAATACACTCTCACATGGACACGACACCCACACACAACAGGACGCCGTCATGTCTGAGGGCACAGAAAGCAGCCTATAGAGAACAACTCATACCCTCTACCATGGCGCGGGCAGGGCGTTACTAATTTGTGTCACATTTTTTTCTTGTGCTCGCCTTGCATTTGCTACACTTGTTACACGGTTCACACGCCGATCCTTACATCTTCCGGCTTGTCTTTTGCCATTGTCTATTTGGCAATGATTTTTGCGGTAGGTCGACATCATCGATCGAGTGCTTAGGCTCTCATTCATCAATGCCGACTGGCATTACTAATTGCCGATTCGTTACAAAAATGTGCGACTTTTTACAGCTGGAGAATTGTCTTTACGGTGGCGGCACCTACTCTCTGAAGATGCCTCACTGTGTGGGCGAATCAGCGTCCACATATTAGACAGTCCGAAAATCCCTGCGACCAGTTCCCGCTGAGTCACGCAAATGCCCCCAACTCCTAGCACGTAGTGAACATGCAAAAAAGTAAATATACATATATGTATATATATATATATCTGTTTTATAATATATGGTACAAAAGTTTTTTGGACTATACTTGATTTGTATTAAAAATTTGTGCAGTTTTCACAAATTGAGTTTTTGTTTAGGTAGCTATTTTATTTTATTTCGAAAATACAAACGACATTATTTATTATTTCCAATGCCAAGTTTGTAATCCACCCATGGTGGATAGAAGTCGACATGACCCGACAAAATAAAACCTGACATCAACTCCATTGCGGTCTGAGGCAGAAAATTATGCGGATGCGGCTATAAAATATGAATTATAAACTTATCGAAGTAAAATTGTAAAATATATGGAAAGCAGGCAAACTCAACAAAAACAACGTTCCACGTACTAACAAATTAGAACAAAACTTAATACTTAATAAATTAATTGTTAAAGAGAAAGTAATAATATATTCAGCACGTCAAATATTTTATACCCTTGTAGACACCTTCCTTTTGCAGATATGTGAGAATAGTGCAGCTGGAATATGCTGAGTTTGTGTCAATATCATTGACACCAGAATATTTTGCCATATAAAATCCGAAATGTAGGCGGTACAGTTTAACTTACAAATGCCGAGTTTGGGTGGAATTAGATAGACAGACAGGCGGACTTGGCTATATTAACTCAGCTGTTGATACTGATCAAGAATATATAAACTTTATGGGGTTGAAGATGTCTCCTTCGTTACACATTTCCAGAGAAAATTAAAATTCCTTTTACAAAATTTATATATATAACATTTATGCAATATTTTAGGTGATATACAGTTGTCTGAAGCATTGCTTGTTTGTTTATTTGATACAACTGTTGGTCTGTTTGATGTGCGCCATATGTTAATAAATTAATAAATAAAGTCAGTATCGAATCATAGCATTATATATAATTTCTTAATGAAGCTAGCGCAGAAAAACTCTGATTTTTGAGGTTTCGATTTTCCTCAACTATTTTCACAAATTATCGTATCGTTTGTACTGTTCCAGATTAGTGTTTTGATTCATGGTACACTTAACTAATCGCCCATCGTTAGCTGGAGAGTAACACCAATTCAGAGCTAAGCTTTAAGTAGTTGCAACATGCAACACACCTTCCCATCCGCCCCACTGCCTACCAAATCACTTGAATGTTAATCTCAGCCAAATGCATTTGTAGCTCAGGTTACGTTCGGGCTTCACCCACTCGACAGCGTAATTTAATGTGCGTCTCTGAACGCTTTTGGCCATGATTTGGCGTACGCCATTTAATCAGAGATATCAGGCAACACCTGCCGCAGTTGGGCAGCTAGCTAGCTGCAACTTGGCTCCTGCAGCGGCAATAAACAGATAAAGTAGGAGTCGATGGGAGACGCTTCCTGTTCGTGAAGGTAGCCAGAGCATGGCGAGGCTTATTGGGCTTGGGTTGCCTGCCGCATGGCTTAAATCAAACTTGATGCTGCAGTTAAAGTCAATGCTTCTGCTGCTGCCACAACAGTTGCAAGTGCTTTTGGCGCAAAAAATTAATTAAGTTGACTTCTGGCATTGGCAAAGCCAGAACGCCGGACTGGTTGGCAAGCGGAAGTCGTCTGTTTTCCACTTTTTTTTGTTATATTTGGTTTGCCGTTGCATTTTAACCAAGTGTGTGGAAATTATGAAAAATGAACGCGCAAGCGGAACGACAACTAACGAGCAATCCACGCAGTTGCCGGCGCCAATAACAACAACAACATTTCCATGCCACATCAGACGCACATGGTGCAAGCACAATTGCTGCGTAGGCGTACATACACAAATATTTTGCACATAATTGATGAATTGTTTAAGCGCGCTTGATAAATGAAACTTCTCGACTACAAATAGTTGCTCAGCAGCTATGTGTGTGCATGTGGGGTCAGACCCTACCAAAAATGCTCCACTAATCAGTCATTAAAGAGCCGCCCCATACACACACCTTAAATGCCACAGTCTGGTATGCACCTCAATAATGCTGAAATGTCAATTGTCTGGGGTTATCAGCGACTTGCGTATCTGTATCTCGTATTCGTATCTGCGCTTTGTTACCAACAACAACATAAAATTCTGTCCACTAAAGTGTCACCGACAATTGGGCACAATATGACGACTGACAGTCGAAATTGATTTCGGTAAACGCTTAGCCTTAGATTACAAACCATTAACCGGCTGTCTATGGGCCATATACAGGGGCTTGGCTCGCCTCAAATCCCCCAAGACAGTTTCACTCTGCGTCTTGGCCAACAATTGTTTGCTTAAGTTGGTTTGCGTACTTTTTGTTGCAGCTCCATGACTGGCACGAAACTTCTTACAGATACGAATATATATATATAAGAAAATTTAAAACAAATAGAATAATATAAAATATATAAAAATAATTGCTGCATTTCAAAGTAATTTAGTAAGCATACATGTTTAAAATTTAAAATTATTATTAAAATGTAGCTTAAAAATATTTTCAAACAATGTTTTAAATATAAAACTGAATATATGCCAATATCATGTAAAATAATAATCATTAATATTACTATAAAATGCAAAAATATTTTAACAAAAAAATGATTCAAAAGCATATTTTAAAATTTTTAATGATTAAGGTTAATTTTAAGGTTGTTTTCAGCTGAGAAATAAAATATATTCGAGAGCCTTGAAAATGTATTAAAAATAAAAGAGAAACTATTTGTATGTCTGACTGATTAGTGATCCACGCACAGGCCATACCGTAAAAGCTAGGAAGCTTTTTACTGTAGCCACTTTATGAGATAAAGGTGCACGTTAAGGTTTCGGGAAATTCCATCCGCATGTGTGGAAAAATCGCGAAAAACGCGAAACTTTTTTGTTTCCCATCCAATCGGCCTCAGACTCATTTGCAGAAATCTTTGTTCCCAATCTTCCAATAGTGTATTCCTCTTTGGTGGAAATGGGGGTCAAAGATTTGGTGGATGACGTTTCGCGCTCAAAATTCTTTACAAGGATCTATATAAAAAATCATTTAGAAGTGTTCCAGTGTTCTTGCTAGATAATACGAATCATGGACTTTTTTGGTGAGGTTTGAGGTTTTGTCCGATTTGCTTCAAATTTATTTTCAAAGCTCCATATAATAACTACATAAAAGTTTATTTTACTGTCCGATAGGTTCAAAACTCATTTTTAAAAATCTTTAACAAAATCTATTTAATTCGTGCCATTAAATATTTAACTTAATTTATGAACGTTTTTATATTATAAATTAAATTAAATTTAAATTGTCTAATTTATATTACAATTTCGAGAAAAAAAATTAATAATAATAATAATAATTTAAGTAATAATTTAATTTAATGAAATTATATAAATATTAGCATTGACTTAAAAATACAGATTTTCTAACGCGCCAACCTCAGTACACAACGAATTTGGGATTGTTATGGTCAGTAATAGAAAACTAACAAAATTTATTTCATTGCCAGCAAAAGCCAGAGCAGTTAATAACACCACATTTAAATATGCTGTTACGTTTGTATATTAGCACACATTCAAACTTAATTGCTTGCACGGCTGTCATAGAGCCGAAGCTGAGAGTATATTAAATTTTAGCTTTATCGTTCTCAGATTGGAACGTTGTTTTTGTTGACTTTTCCCGCATTCCATATGTTTCTAACTTCGATAAGTTCATGAATCACATTTGATAGCAGCAACCGCACTATTTCCAGCATCAGAACGGTATTTAAAGGCAAGAACAATGCAGTTCATGCCAAGTTTCATTTTGTGTTGTGAATTAAAAAAATTCCTTTAAAAGCTTCAAAATAAAGTATACGTCCGACCAATATGTTGAAAAATTGCAAGCTGTTTGCGATTTTAATAGCTTTCTTGCCTGTGGCCTGGACAACAGAATGTTCGACTGAGAATAAATCAGTGGTAGATTAGACTTAAGTTAAAAAATGCATTCGGTACTAATTAACAAAATTAACTTACTAATTAATAAATTAACTACAGGAACAATGTGGCGCATATGCATTTCGGATCGTAAGCCCAATGCTTGAGCATTTTGCAGAGGTTAAAAATGAAATCGAAATGAAAAACAAGAAAGTAGCTGAATTGAAACAAGTTGCCGAAGCTAATACAATAACTCTCAAAAACAATGATCAACAATTAGCAAAACTAAATGACAAATCTGTAATATGTGAAACGGAGTTGCAGAATTTAACAATCCAAAGCTCAAATTTAAAAGATAGTTTTAATATTAAAGAGGCAGAGGTCTTCCAAGCACAGTCAAACATAATCATTATACAAGTTGATTTCAATTGGCAATTACAGTGGAAATGCCGGCAATTCCATGAAATCCCACCAAGGAAGTAATTTTTCAACCTACGATAGCGATAATGATGATTCTAAAAACGGGAAATGTGCTTCGATAGTTAAAGGTAGCTAGTGGTATTTTAACTGCGCAGATAAGTAAAAAAAAAAACAATTATTAAACTATGTTGTAACTGTTTGCTCAATGCTCAATATTTTCAATTAATGTTTTAGCAACCTAAACGGTAAAAGGTTCGACTTTAACGTCGAAGACACGAACGAGTTAAAAGGATGCATTTACTGGCAGCATTGGCATGGCCGGAGTCACTCCTTAAAATATGTCCAAATGATGATACGCCAATTTGAATATAATTAATCTATATATCTTAATTAACAAGTTTCTTTAACGCAAATATGAAAAACATTTTTCGAAAATAAAACATTTGCTTAAATGTTTCAAAGTTGCAACTGTAACGTTAATAATTTTTTTTATTGAATGAACATTTCTATAAGTTTTGCAAAAACTATTAATGTTAAGGTTAGCCAATAAAATAAATATGTATATATTTTTTAAAAATTCCTGACTTCTTAATACTGCTTACTGTTCACTTAATAGTAAAACCTAAATAAAAAAATATTAAAATTTCGAAGTAAGAGTGCTCTAGTCGGAAGTGCCCGACAATCCATAAAATGAAAGGTATTTAATTTGAGTATAGAAATGATTTATATATAATGCTAAAACCCTTATGTCCAATTCAGTATGCCCTTAAAACCTAAAAGATTTGCTCAAGAAACAGAATTTCGAAATCGGTGCTTATCGACCTACGTTAATATGTTATGTCGTATATACGGACAGACGGATGGATAGAAGGACAGACGGAAAGAGCTAGCTCGACTCGACTATTGATGCTGATCAAGAATATATATACCTAATGGGTTCGCAGATGCTTCCTTCCACTTGTTACATACGTTCTCTCAAGTACATTGTACCCTTTTTACTCATTTTTAATGGGTTCAGAGTATAAAAATGAATATACCAAACTAATTATGATAGAATCTATTTGAACTGGCATAGAGAAGATCAAGCAACAATACCCAAATTCTGTATCAGTTGTCTGTTATGCCCTTTTAGTTAACTTCTTTCACACTTAAATATAGACCATGTTTGATACTTTACAAACTTTATATGGTATCGTAAATCAAATCGAAAAGCTTAGCCCTCAAAGTGCTTTCGCTTGTTGCATGTTGGATCTTATCGCTTAGGATAGTAGTTTGATGGGTTTTGCTAGTGTCGCTTGGCGGCAGACCGCAATTCATTCACGAAAGTAAAACTTGTAATAAAAATTAAAATTAAACTCAAATTCGATTTTTATGATGGACGCAACGCGTTGGGGCCACAAAAATTGCAGCTAGCTGACAACAAGCCACAATATTGTTGGAACGTAAAATGATTTTAAAGCCTATAATTAACATTATCAGTTGGACATAATATGGGCAGAGAGTCATAGATAAAAGCAAAAGAGATGGGGGCATGGCAACTGGTAGGTCGACAAACACTTTTTCAACTTTCCTTTGACGCCCCAGCGAGTAACAGAGTTGATTTTTTTTATGGACTCAAATTAAACGCGATTTGTGCGTTCGACAAAAGTTTTTGTTGCGGTTATTGCTGTTGTTGTTGTGGCTGTTGCTGTTGTTGTTATTGCTGTCTGTTGATTTGTTTAATTAAAAGTAAAATCAGGTTAAGCATTAAGCAAAAGCGCAGCATGAGCTGCTTTGTGTTGGTTTTGAGGGGGCCTAGCCAAAATCTCAACTGCGACTGCTATCAAAATCGCGTAAATCTCAGGCCTACATAGGGCTAGGCCATCAAATAAAAGTTCATTAGTTGCGCATAAAAAGCAAAAAATCCAACTAAAAATAAAAAACAAATAAATAAATGAGCACACACAAGCGACTCGGAAATTCAGGTATGAAAGTGTTGCTTAATTTGTAACTACAATTTAGCTCAGTTTTATTGTCAGCTCCACAGCTGCGAATTGCCTGCCTGGAAAACAGAATTTAGCAACGCGAATTGACGTAGCTCAAGGCGAGTATTTGGCTAATGTTTTTGCCGGGCTAAGCCAGCTGCCAAAAAATTATGCTCGCTGCCAGTTGGCCAGTAACTAACTGAAAGCAACGTCTCGGTGTCGGCCAAATCCAATTTGAAATGCGTGTCACCCTCACCGGGCCTGGAACGAAATGCCAGCAGGACAAACGCAGAGCGTGAAAATCCTTTTGGGGCACCAACACACACAAACACAGACACAGGCACACCTTAGGAGGTGCGTGTTGGAAAATTTAAAGTGTGAAAATTGCTTATGTCTTGACATTCGCATCTGCAATATGTGTGTCTAACGAAAATGTGAAAAACACAAAAAACGTCAACAATCATAGAAACTCCTACACAATTTTTGCCTATGCGCTGCCAATTTCCTAATGGGATTAAATCGACCAAAAATTAAAGGTGCAACAGTTTTTTTCATTTGAAGTCGCTTGGGAAATTCGTTTGGATATATAATAAGTATGATACTAAAGAAAAAACATTATTAAATATATTAAAATACAATGATGGATTTCACGACCTAGACCATTATTAGGTTCTTAAAGGTCAGAGGCGCAGCTAAATAAAGATTTAAATACAATATTTAATAGTACACTGAGTACAAAATATTATAGGAATTTCTGTGTAATATTAAGCAAGATTAATTATAATGCTAACTTTTCATCTAAATAATAAAATTATAAAACTGTACACTGTAAATTTAATAATTATATGTATTTTTACTAATACCAATAATGCTAACTATAATTATTGATATTTTCTAGTATTTATAAATTTTGAATTCATCAAATATTTTTTAAACTTTTCTTTCGCATTAAGATATTCAAGTATATTTTTTTGCAAATTACTTCTTAAATCTTGGATGAATCAAAATAAAAGATTCTAAAAGATTTTATATTTTATTTAATATTTTTAAGAGTATTTTTCGATTGAATTGCCTTATAACCTCCACTCTACATTTTTTTAGTTTTTTATTTTTTAGTTGCTTTTGAGAGCGTGTTTTGGCCATTCAAAAATGGGTCACGTCGTGGACGTGCAGCTGCTTCAATCACATTTCATTATTAAATAAGAATATCAACAAAAACACAACAACAAATTATTATTACTGTTTTTATTATGGCGGTCAGGTGATGCGGACCACACCTTCAGCACGTTTTGATGGAATTGTGTGGCTAAAAGCACAAAAACCAAATTAAAAAGGAAACAAAAAAACAACATAAAAAAAAAAAATACTTAACAAAGCGCTGAAAATGTATTAAACTATTCATAATTCACACAGAGCAAATGTTAATGAATACTCCCCGTTGCGTTAATGAGTCAAAGCGCTGAAATTATTTGCATTCACTTTTCAGCACTCAATGAAACTGAATGGAATTCATTTTCATGCCACACGAAAGTTTATAAATCAGCACAAAATGTGCGACGCGGACGGGCTCAACAAAAACAAATTATAAATTTTCATATGCAGCTGCAACAAAAAAAGGAAAGAAGAAAAGAAAAAGTAAAAAAACAAGCCAAAATTAATTGCAGGCAAAAATTACAAAATAAATAAACCTAAAACCGAAAACTAAACTTTTTTGTAATACGCTGGCAACTAACTAATGGAAAATCGAAAATATATTCATTATATATATGTATATATATCACGCACGAAAAATCATATGTGGGCTTTATGCAGTTTGAAGACCACACACCCCCTCACCAACACACATATGCAACTCACATATGTGCCAAGTGGTGCAGTTGGCCATGTGGAAAACTGGTTGACGCTGCAATATAAATAAAATTGTGTAAAAAATTTACATTTTTTATAAGTGCAGTGCATAGATTGCAATGTTCATTAAAAGCCAACGGCAACTACAGAAAACTAAATTTTTTTCACATCCAATAATTGAGCATAATTGAAGGCTGCGATTTGTTTTAAATGAGTTTATTTATATATATTGCACCAATTTAAATATGTTATGAATCTGTTTTATTAGTATTGATTGGATTAAGAGCTTTATGTCAAATAGAAATTAAAACCCTTTGAAACTTTTGATTTACAACAAGTAAGAGGTTCTAGTTGGAAGCTCCCAACTAGGGGATACCCTGAACCCTCTTCTTCCAACATCAAATGCATATATATATTCTATTTTAGAAGCTATATGTCAAGTTTGTTGACTCTAGCTCTTATTATTAAAATTGCTCAAAAAACAGGATATCGATATCGATTTTATGGAAACGGAGTAAGTATACCCATTTTTAATGGGTTCAGGGTATAAAAAATATATATGTATATATAATAGAGAAGAAAGGTTTTTTATTAAAAGAAGAAAACGATATTTTCATAAATACTTAAGACAACATTACAAATTTATAAAAATATATTAGTTTAATTTAATTTAAAAGTTTTGATATAACTTTGCACTCATTAAATGTACTTCAATGCAAATATCCTCTGTGAAAATTTCTTACGCACTTTTAAACTATTATCGAAACATAATATTCCCAAAGCCACATAATATAATGCCAATTCCGATAGCTATGTCCATTTAATATTCATTGGAAGTTTGCTGTGTTGGGCAGTAAAAATATTTGAATAAAAAAAGAAAAAAACTGCAATTTGGCCAGATGCAAAAACAGAGCAACAACAAAAACTCCATTTGGTCTGGCATAATTTCCTGTTGGGCGAAAACGGCAAAATTTATGAGCACACAATTGTGTGAGGCCAAATAGCACAGATACCAAAAACCAAAAACATGATCAATTATACTGCGAAATGCGAGTAAAATTGCTGGCCTAAACAAATAAAGGTGGTCAGGATGTGTGAAGGGGGACGGGGCGTGTGTTAAGCAGTGGGCAGAAGGGGTTGGCTGCTTGGTTAACTAAGTTGCATTTGTTTAGATTGCGAAGTGCGGGCGCGGCTCATGTGAGTAATTCATTTATGCCATTGGCTGTAGTTGCTGCTGGCCGGCTGATTAATCGCGGCTAGTTACGGGCGGCAATTGCAAAATTAGCCATAGATAGCGCACAAAACTGGAAAAGTAAGAAACAAAAAAAAAAAAGAAACTTGGCCAACGAGCAGCGACTGCCACAGTTTTCAACACCTACGTGAGGCAACTGCCAACTGGCAACAGGCAACAGCTGAACCATGTGAAACAATTATGCAAATGTGCTCAGTGCGAAACAATGCGGAGAAATCATTGCGAGTCGCAAATTAATTACCAACTGCAATATGTATCCTAACAAAACATGAAGCTTGCCTCACGTGGGCGCGGGGGCAGGTGTAGCTGGGGCACCTTGTGTTCTGTTACGC